CAGTGTACCTAGGCTGGGGTACCAGGGGTGGGGGTAGAAAGAAGTATTAACTGTTTATTATTTGTAACTAACAGCATATTTTTTTCAGAGCATGCTAGCTCTGTCTCAGGACAGCAACCACATTAAAAGCATTAAAGCACATTAGTTGCATAGGGATTAAGTTTTTTTCATTCTTTGCTTTACTTTTTCATTATTATCTAATTAAAGAAATATTAAATCAGTGCTAGAAATGATACCATCCTGTATCTCCAGAAGTACTGTAGCCAAAATAAGTACCTAACAATGATTCTCAGAGGTGAGTGATATGAACCACCTAAGTATTTTTAATTGAACAGCAAGAAGCTTGTATACACAGACCCTTTTATTTTGAAGTTCTCTACTCATGACACACCTCAGCAATAGCCTTGGCTTCTTGGGCATGGCTGTGTATACATACCAACTCCCATGTCAGCACCTGAGACCAACTATAATGATATTTTAACATATTCATCTAAATAATTGCTAGAATGCAAGAAGGATATTGGAGTGGATTAAACTGTGTTCAGAACTGAAGTCCTCTGCTAAACATTAGAGTACTTGCAGATCATCTAGGCATTTACATTTTCTCCTGTTTATAATTTAACATCCCCCTCCCATTTGTGGCTTAGTTATTGTCTAGATAAACAATATATAATGTTCTAAGATTTTTTTTTTAAGTTACTGATACAATAATTGCCAGCATATGTATCTATTTACATCCAGTATTGTGATATCTATTATTATTGCCTTGATAATTGCCTTTTGGAATAAAGTTTGACTTAAGTAAAGTCAGGTTTTGATTTGTTAGATCTATTGAAAGACTGCTAAAAAGGATGCTGAACACAGACCATGTATTCACAAAAAGATCAGATATTTACTTCTCTTTCTTAATTTTAATGAAGTTTACACTGTTCAATTTGAATAACAATCCAAAATCTTGGACACTCCAACTTCATTATTCCAAAGACAGGGCTTTTCAGAAAGAACAGAGTTATATCTCCCCATTTCTTAAAAGTACTATAGGTGGGCCCCTCACTTGTTTTTTTGAAAACAGAAACCAGGATCAGACTCTGAGACCAGGGATATCATGCACAGACTGAAAACAAGGCATACACAGCAACAAACAAGTACAAGATAGGCATTATGTAAAATTATCAAAGATCAAGTGGGGAAAAAAAAAGATGAAAGGAAAAAAATACACCTAAGTAGCCTCACCAATACAATCTGAAATGAAGAACATGGTTTTTAATTCTATTAACTTAAGCAAACTATGTTAAACCCAGTATGGAGTAACTGTTGGAGCAGGAAAAATAATATTCTTTGGGAATGTACATGTGTATTTTCTTGCTCATGCAGTGTCTAACAGTAAACTACAATTTTATCAAACGTCTCTTCATTTATCATACTTAGTTATATTTCATTTTATTTTTCTTTCTGTCTTAGTCTGTTCATTGATGATGATAAAAATATTTAACTAGGTGCTTAAAATTTGAGTTGTGGTTCTAACATTATAACTCTCCATAAGACAAATGGTTCTGTTTCTTTTTGGACTCTTCATTAGGGACTGTAGTGGTAGGACAAGGAGTAATGGGTTAAAACTTAAACAGGGGAAGTTTAGACTGGATATAAGGAGGAAATTCTTTCCTGTTAGGGTGGTGAGGCACTGGAATAGGTTGCCCAGGGAGGTTGTGAATGCTCCATCCCTGGCAGTGTTCAAGGCCAGGTTGGACGAGGCCTTGGGTGATATGGTTTAGAGCGAGGTGTCCCTGCCCATGGCAGGGGGGTTGGAACTCGATGATCTTATAGTCCTTTCCAACCCTAACTATTCTATGATTCTATGATTTTCCCAGAGTAGAATCAAGCCACTTGGTAGAAGAAATGTTTGAGATTCAGAGCTCTGAATACCAGTGACAAGGTGCAGGTAGACATTTAAGAAAAATGTAAAACTTTTTTTCCTCCTGGTCAACACTGACCTTGCCTGACATTGCCGCAAGGATTCACTCCTCTAGGAATTACTCTAGTGTAATTCTATTTTATGCTGTTCTAGTTCTTACACTGATCTCATCCGTATAGTATTTCAGTGCTCCCCAAGTTCAAAATTATAATCATCAGGATGAATGTGATTTTCTTTCTTGAATCCTCTTTCTGTAGGGAAATAATATGTACAAATGTATCAAATGATGCATTAGTGTTAATAACACATGTATTACACAAATACATGCTAATAAAGGCAAGTCGAAGAGACAATGTTTCCACAGGTAGAAAGTGGTGATGAAGACTGCAGTGGTTCTTGGACCCTATGGCTTTCTTTTCTATTGATGAAAGGCTATGAAAAATTATATATTTTTTCTATTATCAAAACCAGGAGAAAGCTCAAGTTCACCAGTGAAGACAACGGGGATCAAAGCCATTTAGAGTAAGAAAGTATCTCTCCACTGATGTTTGCTTAAAGGAATAGGACAGGAAGTTGGCAGAGACATACTTCAATGTCCCACTGGATAAATGAATTTCCAACAAGATGAACATATGAAATTACATTGTCAGAGGAATGTCAAAACTCTGTAGATGATGCTGATCTATAAATTCACCACGAGGAAAAGGAACAAATGGTGATAATGTAACAGTTTTTTAAAAAGCTATTTTAAAATTTACAACTTGCTCTAGTAGTATGTAGTTTCCTGTGTTGACTTAGCATTTTTCCTGTTTCGAGATCATATGTTTTTAAAAAATGTCCTTTTATAGAAAGTTTCAGTTGCTTACTTGCTCTGTACTATCCATGCCTAATCTCCTCTTATTACTCCTTCCCCAGCTACTCCTTTCTCTCATTTATCCCCCACCACCCCAGTTGCCTTAGACAACTGGAAGATGTATCTTCCAGTTGCAATGAAATCCTATGGAAATGAGGTCTGGCATATACATTCTTTGTCATCTACAGAAAGGGATCCTATTATCCACTGGCCACGAAATTACTCGTGTCTAACTCTCATGGCTTGGCCTTACTAACACATCCTGCTTTTGCAGAAAGGGAAACGCAGCTGAACTGTAGCAACTCTAATGACAGGTGAACAATGTCTCCCTTCCAAAGCCTAATTCCCTTCACTTCTACACCAATGTAAATTTAAAGTAGTTGATCCTGCCCCTCTACTCTGCTCTTGTGAGACCTCACTTGGAGTAATTTGTACAGTTCTGGTGTCCCCAGCATAAAAAGGACATGGAACTGTTGGAACAAGTACGAAGGAAGGCCACGAGGATGATCAGGAGCTGGAGCACCTCCAGTATGAAGACAGGCTGAGAAAGTTGAGGCTGTTCAGCCTGGAGAAGAGAAAGCTGTGTGGAGACCTCATAGCAGCCTTCCAGTATCTGAAGGGGGCCTATAAGGATCCTAGGGAGGGACTCTTCGTTCGTTAGGGATCATAGTGATAGGACAAGGGGCAACAGGTTCAGACTTAAACAGGGGAAGTTTAGATTGGATATAAGGAGGAAGTTCTTTACTGTGAGGGTGGTGAGGCACTGGAATGGGCTGTCCAAGGAAGTTGTAAATGCTCCCTCCATGGCGGTGTTCAAGGCGGGGGTGGACAGAGCCTTGGATAACATGGTTTAGTGTGAAGTGTCCCTGCCCATGGCAGGGGAGATGGAACTTGATGACCTTAAGGTCCTTTCTAATCCTAACTAATCTATTATTCAATGATTCTAGATCTCTGTGGGATTACAACAACACACTTTGAGTAGACACCATATAGGTAAGGAGTAAATTCAAATTTTAACATTTTTGACATGTTGCAGAGTCAGTATTATCTGCATATGCTGTTTACTTGGTCTGTAGCAGACAGTAATATAATGTTCACATGCCACATTATCATCTCCACACCCATCACAAACATCTCCTTTCTTCAAAATCCAAAGAAGTACCTAAGGTGAATGTTACAATTTAAATTATCCTCCTAATCTCAAGAAACAGAGCTAAAAAGTAGAAGATGAAGCCTCAACAGGAAAAACATCTGTTTTACTTGTCTCATCCCAGAAAAGGAATTCAATCCACATGCCCCACATGATTTACCTACAAAGGCACGTTTTTGCTGAAGAGCTAAGTATGCTTTCTATAGGAGGAGCATTTGTAAAGGCTATAGAAATGTAATCAAATACACACTGCCTCAATAACGGAGAATGACTTCCTAAAATTCCAGTCCTCTCATCCTTCCAAACACAATCCTCAAACAGAACAGATACTTTTTAGAGAAAACAATGTTGTAATTTCCATAATAACTGAAAACCAATTTCATAATTTTGAAATTCAGAAGGATGTTGAAGTGCATTATTAAGGCATCATTAGATGACTTTGCAATAAGGATGCTTTGGCCCATCGTGAATCTGACCAGCGCATAGAATTAGTCATATTTGCCATGAGGAGAATGTACCAATGGGAACTACACAGGTTATTTAGAATACCAAAATAAAAAAAATATGCCATCTGTGCTCTCACGGTGCCTGTTGTAGTACCACGTTCTGTGCATTGTTACAATCAGTCAGTAATTCAGAACGTGTCAATAATTCAACCTTGTCAACTGCTTATTGAATTTGTCATCATTAAACACTTACATACTTCAGCAAATACTTGCTAGCCTTACTTCCATGAAGTGCTTCTGGCTTTATTTATGAATGCAGCTTTTGGTGTGTTTCGTGTTAGACATAGTGAGTAATTTCTAAGCAAAGGGTTTTCAACTAGTTGGTAAAGCATTTCATGCTTGCAGCAAAGAATTTACATGGTGCTTACCATGTCACCTGTGTGCATGTGAATTTTGCTCTTTTGCTGCATTTTGAAGATAATACTCTTTCAGAAAACTGGAAGTTTGCTGTCAGTAACTATGGTTTATACCTAAACCACAATTTGATTCACCAACCCTATCTTAAAGCAAAAGGTCCAAGAAGCCAAGTATAACCACAGCAAAAATTAAGGTTTCAGAGGTATACACTAAAGAACTTACTGTGATGATTAGCCCTTTTTCCTGGAAATATTTAACCAATGGAACAGCATTCTGCTTGAAATTCATCAGTCGTCTTTGAGTGGCTTTCAGGTTATCATCAGGTCTTCCTTGCTGTTCAGCACGCTTCAGTAACCTTTCTTTCAGCCTTTGACTGGAGCATGCCAGGAACACCACCAAATCTGGGGTACAGATCTGTAGAAAGAGCAATTCAAGAAATCTGTGATTAAGCTGACTACCCAGCACTGCAGGACTCAGCAATTCCATTATTAGGTGAAGTTCAGGTATGCTTTTCAGATTATTCTAAACACAGAGTTGACAGTTATTCTGTCATTTCATGAGATGAATCAATTATGACAGTTAATTTTACTACCACATAACAGCTTTAAGGCACATATTCACATGAAAGTCTATGAAGGTAAGTTTTTGTGTTAGACGTTTTCATGCAATACAGACATTATCAGAAGTAGCTCTGTTAAATTAAGGTTGATTCATTAGTAGTAGCAGAATAGTAGTAGAGATTTTGGGAACTTAGAGAGCACACAGTAATAAATTCAAATTATGACACAGATTCTGAAAGAGAATGCTACAGATTTCAATGCCTTTCAATGCCAAGGAACACCATCTCATGAAAGGGACGGCTGATGCACCTTTCAGCAGACTGAGCAGACAGACATCTCAAGTCCCATTGTGGACATCCAGAGTGGATTGGAGCTTCCTAACATACAGTACACAGGGACTCAGAAATTGTAACTGCAAATCGGGTATCTAGTAAAGTGAAGGACAAAAGGAGTTTATACATTAGTAGTTTTACTGAGTATTTCCATTTCTATGAATCCTAGTAATAATGAAGAAATATGGTAAGAAATCGTTAGGTGACCCAAGCTGTAGCTGCCTATCTCCACTTTGAAGGCTCACTTTCAAACACCTTCAAGACTAGCATTTATGATGTATTCTGCTCTGTGAAGTCAGTCTGTAAAGCATAGGACTTAAGCTTTTGCGTATCACATAACTTCACATACAACACCAAACCTTACAGATAGTACTTAGAATAAATAGATTGATCATGAAAGTATTAGCTTTAACAGAAAAAGAGGCAGGAGACAAAAGACTCTTTCTGCTTCAAACATGGGCAGATCTGCCTAACACAAACATGAGAGTGCAGCTTTCCACACTCAGCCTCAGTTCTTTAAAGAAACGGTGTCTGAGTAAGTGCAGCCCCACAGCAAGGGAAGGATATGAACACCACCATCAGGTGTGCAGATTCTCATCTGCTTCTTCCCAGAAATGGCACTGGCCCCACAGGTCAGTTCCTTTTGAAAAAAATGGGAAAGCATGCACAGTGCATTGTAAAATGGGGATAATAATGAGGTAGAACACAGTAATTATTGTGGAAAATCAATTAATTAGGTTTTAATTATTTCCCATTGCTTTTTAAAATGGAAAGTTCTCTACAGCAGGTGAGTACTGCTGTTCTTAATTTGTTTACTAGTAACAGCAACAATACAAAGGACAGTATCAGAATCCCAGGAGCTAAAACTATTTTTTCTAACACTCTAGCTTTGCTAATTTGAAATGTATTTTACGCACAGAAATAAACTGTCAATGAAATCAATGGTTTAAAATTCTCAGTTCAAGAAGCCTAGTTTCAAATGAAGTATTGTCTAGAGGGTTTTCTGTTGAAGTGGAAAAAAAGGTAATTCAAACATATTTGAGGTAGGAAGACAAAGCAGATTCTGAATATGTGATATCTCTATGAATTAAACCTGACGAATATTTACTTTTATCATCAGAAAGTAGCTGAAAACCATTTAATAAACAGAAGCCTCTGCTTCATTTTAGATGCATGAAAGGGCAACATCTCTTCTATATCCATAGGTAGTCAGACCTAATAGCACTTAATGTCTTTCTTCTACATGCATTTACAACCTGCAGGGTAAACGCTTAAAATGTTATTGATAATTCACTCCTGTTTTCAGGAACATCTCTACTTCCACCTACCTCAACTGCAGGTGCCTGCAAGACATGCTTAGAAATACTTCCAAGTTGGAAAGAAACAGGCTAGTGTGAACATATGGACATCTGGGATTACTTCTCGAGAAACATCTAGTTCTCCTCCGTAAATATGAGTAAAAAATCGCTTTTTTTTCTAACAAAGGAAAAGGTTTTTTTATGACTCATTTAAAAAAAACCAACCAAAACAACAAACCCAAACCTATTTTTTAAACTCAGAACTAACTGTTGTGGAGTTTTATGATTAGGGAATAAATTTTATTCTGAGACTCAGCTTGTAGAAGAGTTGTATAGAACCAGCACAGCAGAAGTACTGGATTCCATCACTCTGATTTTCCATAGCATGCTCATTTTTTTGCTAAACGCAGAAGGTCTTTTTCATGTCCAGAAATGCGCGTGAGGAAGGACTTTGGGGTTTAGGGAAATAAATTTGGCTAGTTACTAACTGGAACTCAGCAGAAGGCAGAATCTTTGCCTATGGGAACAGACAGGTTTCTGGTTATTTACAACCTTCTGAATTTTAAATGGGACATAGAATGTACGGCATCAACTCAGAATAAAACGGGTGGGTACATCCTCTCATTTTTTAGAATAGTATATACAAGTAAGTAAATACTACTCTATTTGGGTCTGAATATCCTCCTAAACTGGAACTAGGAGTAAATTGAGAGTAATCCCATGCAAGTTGGTGGTGCTATCGACGTAAATAGTAAGTGGAAAGATGTTTTCTCTAGGGGTATTTTCTACATCTCTTGTTAGTGAGAGTAGTGCGGTTGTTTGCTAGAAATTAGATGATTACATTCTCTCTCATTATTCCTCATTAGGCACTAGACAAAAATGCTCTGTTTCTTAATTCCTGGTGTGTTCTACTAGATACTCCTGAGAAAACTCATCTGACAGCTCATGAACAACCGTCATTAATTTAACAGTGCACTTTATTCTAATTGATAAAGGTTACTAGCAAGCTAGCTTATGTCCATTCTATGGGTGCTCTCCCTTGTAATTACTGAATTGCTTTTTATAGTTCCATCTCTGCTGGTTTACTAGATTGTTTGCATAGTTTTTTCTTGGTTTAGAAAAGCAAAATAATGAATCATGTTGTCAAAGAATGAATCTTGCTCATAGATTTTTTTCTCAAGTAACTGCTCTTGAACCATATTCACAATGCCTAAGAAATAAGCTTCCAGAAGATTGCCCAGGCTACATAATTAGGCCCCCTAATAATTGATTAAGAGCAGCAGGTGTCTTCAGGGAGAACAGATTTTCATCTGTGTAGTGCAGCTAGTCAATAGGAATCCCTATCTGCAAATGTTAATGCTGAAAAGAAAGGTCTAAGCAGACTTCTGGTTCCGAACTGCCCAGCAGGCACCTCCATTTGCTCTTCTCAGTATTAAGAACTGAAAAGGGTTGAGCTCTCCTTCGGCTAGTTTGGCTAGCAGAGTCCTTGTCAGAAAAATAGGAAACCTGAGGTCTAGGATCTCATACCCAGCAGAAAATTGAAGCAGGAGAGTGTTCTACCTTCCAGGGGAGAATACAGACAATAAGACTATTCCATAGGCTTCGTGCTCAAGTTTGGCTTTAAGAAAGCAATGGAAAACTCACAGGACCAAGGAGAATGAATGAGAGGAACCATAGCAGTGCAGATAGCTGATATGCTAGTCCTCCAACTCATACAGATGACTGGGTACATAGATCCAGTAGGAGACTGTACCTGAGGCTATCAGCCTGGAACAATTAAGTGGAGATCTGGGAGAAGTGAGATAGAAATTGAGGAAGGAATGAAATGAAGAAGACACACAGACCATGGTGGAAAAAAAAGAATGCCTTTACCAGAACAAAAACCTATTGCAGAGAAGAGATCCTTAAGAAGATTCACAGAAAGGCTGCATTCATTTTTCTAGTTGTTCTGGAGCCCACACTCCTGGCCAGTGACAGAGCAAGTTTCCTACAAGAAACTCTTTGCAGAGCATGAGCTTGGCAGACAGTCATAGGTTAGCTGCCTACATACAGATCAAACACCTACATCAAACTTTGAGGGGACTACAGACGTCATTTCTGCTTTGAGGTTTAAGTATTGGACTTGGAGGAATAGTACTGCTGTCCTTAGCCTGTGAGACTGTGAAAGTACAAGTCAGTTTTTCCCAGCATCCTCTATATTGACATCTACATAATTCTACTTTAACACAATTACTTTCCATAATAATTTTCATAGGGAATATATTGGTGAGTTAAACAAAGTTAACTTGTATCACAGCCACGATTAACCAGTTATTCTTTGTAGGTGTCTTGTATTTATGAATATGCTTAATGACATTTTAAACAAAGAATCAGTAAAATCTACTGCCTCTTCATTATTTAAATTAAAATTTACTTCTTCAAATATAGTCTTGTCACCCAGGCCATTTAACACAAAAATATTTTTAAGATAATTTCTATAAAAGCAGTCTTTTATCAAGGAATTAAATTATATTCATGAATGAATATTTAATTCTAGTACCTTTTCCACATTTCATTTCAAAACTTCACAACTAATATATTTTAAGCAAATTTCATCTGTATTTACACTATTGAAACTAAATGTTAATATTGGTGAAGGAAATGCTGCAATCAGAAGTTACGTATGAATGACTGAAAGTGGAAAAAACCCCTCCAAACTAAATCAGTAATTAAAATTAACTGGAAAATACTGGAGTGAGAAATAATTTCTCCTGGGAAGGGTAAGAACACTGCCATGTGAGAGATTACATACAAAGTCAAACTACAGTTTCTTCTGCACAAGTCATTTGAGTTCAATACACCAGTCAGAGGCATTTCATTACAGTGCTTCTGGAGAGGAAGATACTTAGTATGCTTGAGCATGCTGGTACTGTAGCTGACTTGCTGAGTTTCAAGCTGACACGTTAATGGTAAATAAACCATTTTCTCCTTGGTGCTTTCGAATGTGTGTTTGGAATCTAAACACCTTTGTACTATTTGCACTCAGCAGAGATCATGGATACTTTAGAAATTCATGGTTTAGGATAGCTTTATGCTTAGACTCAAACTGAAAGGCTAAATAAATCAGTATTAAATCTGTCCTGCTACACAGAAGGATTTCAAAATTACCACAACCCAGAAATTAACACATATTTAAAACAAATATATAAACTGGAAGTTCTCTTTGCTTTTATGACATTCAAATT